ATAAAATGTGGTATGTTTGGTTTGTTTTAATCTTACCAATTGACGTTACGATATCTTAACTCTATGCAGTCATTTTACAAAGACCTACGACTATGAATGCAACAGTATAATCGTCAAGTTATAGAGAGAATATTTAAATCAAAGAAGTTTATTCGAAAACCACTGACTTTTAGAAGAGAATATTTCTTTTAAGAAAGTACGAAGAGGAACATGAATTTAAGATAAGTTTTTGGAATAATGTAATAAAAATAAATTTTATTTACTTGAACAAAAAAAAAATTTTTTTTTTACTGTACAAACCAAAAATGTTACTCTTAAAAACGATTACAAATCTAAATTTTAAGTGGCTTACCTGTAGAAACAAAATCAGTCTTGTATTTCATCTCAAGATAAGATTCACAAGTCACTGCACAAGGGAACTCCATTTTTTCCACTACAACTTCTACTTGTGACAGCAGTGACTAAAATTTAGTTTTTAAAAATTTTTATTTCTTTTTTGTTGTTAGTCTATTTTTTCTGCATACATAGTTTTTTTCCTGACAATCGAAGTAAAATTACTTTTTAAAAAATAAGATTGAGAAATATTCAAAGTAAAATAAATATTTTTATGCTGTCATTTTTTTGTTGTTTCAGTGTTATTTGCCGCACCTTTTTTTAACCAGTTTTAGCTGAAACTCTTTCATACCATTCTGGAGTGGAAACGTATTTTATGTTGTAACATAATTACTTATTTTTTAAATTTATGGTGTAATGTATAAATTTAGTGGTGGCTATTGAAAAAAAAGGATTTTTTTTTTTAAAAGTTACTATTCAAATAGAAAAAACAATCGTTCACTGAAACGGTCTAAGCTAAGAGGTATTGTTGCATTCTGAAGATACCTTTGTTGTTTACATTGCGTGGAAGAAAAATACAAGATTTTTGCATGTGCATCTGTTTACTGCTTCTAATTTATAAATAACTGTAATTTATATACTTCAGTCAGAAAAAAACTAATGTAGAAACAACGGCAGTTAAAAAATAAAAAGGAACTGGAAAGCAGTTGATAGCATAGCATCGCTTTATTCTAATATCTTTTTATTTTTTGAAAACAGTTGAGAAACGCCATGCATCCTCTGAGTGACTGTATCAAAAGCATCTGTGAAAGTTTTCTTCTCTTTCTTTTTATCTTTTGGATTATAGTTGCAGAAATCACCTTCTATAATACAACAACACTCTTTACTGTAAACTGTCTCGGCAAAAGGTTTTTTCTTAAACAATAACTGTTTCGAAAAAATACATTTTTGTATTTTTATGGCTGCTACTGCATATAACGTAATCACCAAAAAAAAAAGAAAAAAACAAATTGCTTAAAGAATAAAAGTTACTGTGATTCTCCAAACACAGTGCAAATTTGAATCCATCCATGGATTTTCCAGTGTTTGATACTCTGGTCCAGCAATTAGTTCACTTCCGCAGTTAGCAGTTCCTAATACATAAAGTAGGTTTGAAACCTTCATTCACAAATTTCTATGTTTAGTTTTCTTCAGAACATTAAATTGTTGATGTAAATTAAGAGAAATGGTTTACTGATTAATGACATTTAAAAGTGTGCAAAAGACAGGAAGAAACTGCTAACAGAAATAAATCCAAAAAAGGGCTAACTGATCGGGCTGTATTTATGGTGAGATGTGATTATTATAAATGATATGTTCTGTTAAAAGGAGCCAAAATGCTTTGTTTTAGACTTAGATATATGTTACAGATATTGTCGTTGTCATACTTGAAGGCTCAACTTTTTCACATAGTTTTCCACCAAAACCGCTTGGACATCTGCATTTTCCGCAGTCGTTTGGGTCTGTGTAACCACCTCGAGTACAATCCAAAGTTTCTTGGCATATATCTATAAAAAAAAGATGCAGTAGTTGTTTCTTCATTAGTTCATATTAGCCGGCTTAAGGATTTGACAGTATAAACTCGCTAATTTTTTGAAAATTTTAAATGATACTGCCAACATTTCCAATTACCTGAGCAGTATCTTTTGTTGATCATTTCAGCGTCTTTAAACGATAACCCTTTTCGGTGTCCCATAGTTTGTTGGTACCACTTGTCTTTTGCAATTATTGTTGGCCTGAGAAAAAAAACCGAAAATTTTTCAGTGCTAAACCTGTCAACTTTAATTTTATAAATTTTTTATATGATCACTAAAAAAAGTTAAATAGAAAACTGAAGTTGACAGAACAAAAAAAAACAGTTTTTTTTCTTTAGTAACCTTTCATAATTAACGGTAAACGCAAGCGGTCCATAATGCATTACTGAGCCAAGGTCGTATGGTAAACCAAGATTATCACTGTTTTTTAACGTTCGTTTTTCAAAATTAAATTCCAAATTCTAAAATTATAAATAAATTGTAAACATCTAATGCTTTTGAATATTCTCTTTTTCAATTCCGTCAAGCAAAAAAAACATACTTTACAGTTTTTAAAGAAGCCAAAAACCAAAAAGAAGAAAAAACGCAAGAGAAAAAAAATTTTTTCAATTAGAAGAATGTTCAAAATAAACCTTAATAACATTATGATATCTAATTTCCACAACTTCATCTCGATCACTTCTTGACTGTTCATGCCATAACCCTAGCGAATGAAGTGTTTCATGTGCAATAATACCTTTCTGAAAAAATCATTTTTTTTTAAAAATTAACCTATATTTTTCAATGAAAACATTGTTATTTCAAAATAAGCTCTCAACAGTATATTCTGACTGTGATTTTTTGATTCTTTTATACAATTAAGTCAGTGGAAAAAAAAAGAGAATAACTGACGCTTTCACAGCCGTATCCAATTGATACATATTGCTTGCCACCAACACGTCCAACACTTGACCAACAACCACTTCCACGATAATACACCAGATAATCTCTGCTTTTACCGCCTTCCTTTAAATTTTGATTTTTTTCTGCTCAAAAAATGATAGTGTTTTTGAAAGTTTGAACACAAATTACCATTATGCAACTTACTGAATTTTCTGATATAGCTTACTTGAAATTTAAAACACGTCACTTTTTCTATATGTTTTAAAGCATCTCTGATTAAACCTTTCCAGGATTCTGAAAATGTCAGAGGTAAAATTAGTAATTGTAAGAAAAAATGTTATTCTGTTTAAACATAGACAAATTTTAAGTAATTCATAAGATGTTTATTAAAAGCGGTCTACAGCTATGAAACCTTCTTTGCCATTTATGATGTAAGCAATCGTCAAGTTTTTCCAAAAAAACCTCTCGTCATTTTGAGCTTGTCTAGCACTTCCTAAAAAAAAGATGTACGTAAAAATCTTATTTTATTTTGAATAATCAAAGCTCATCAGAAGCGAAAAACAGTGATCTTGACTGTAACGAAAAAAAAAA